TGCTTATTTACCAAGAAGTTATGTTTATATTACCAAAGGATAATGAAGATTTATGGTCAAAGCCCAAGGTAAAAATAATAGGAAATAAAGCATTTTGCTGTTTTAACTGAAATATTTATTATAATGTTTTTATGGAAAGATTCCAAAATGTAGAAAGTTGAAATTGCAAAGTATTTATCTTACATTACAGCAATATTTATACACATAATTTGAATATATACATATATACATCACAATAGATTTGAATATGTGTACATATTATATAATGTAAATATGGAGAAATATATAAATATGTTTTTATATATGTAAATAAACTGATATTATTATTTTGCCTTTAAATAATTGAGATCCATCTTAATTTGTCTTTGCAAAGAATGCCTCAAGTTGAAATTGTGATAAAATGTCTATATAAATAAGAGCTCATTTTGTACCTTTATTCTTTTCAGAAAATAATTAATATACTTATCAAATGGTGAAAGTAAGACTTTGTTCTTCATTTAGAATACTTATATTTCGAATGAATTTTATTTTGTTATATTTTTTCTGAAAAGGTGAAAATAAAATAGTAGAAGAATTCGAATGGGTGTGAATAAGTTATGAAGAATTAGTACGGAATTCTGACAACAAACAAAAGTAGAGCCTTTTATTAAAGTTGCGAAAGTGTGTTGAAAAATTCTTTAATAGGCATAGATTTTGGGCGACACGGTAAATTATTTTATGGTTGTAAAATTTTATCTGCCGAACGATTTTTCAAGCAACCTTCTTGTTCAGGATTGTGCTATATTGTGCTATTGCCTGGTAATATGAATCACCGTTTTAATTTCAATTAGAGCTTAAAAATAGTATGAAAGTACAGCACACATTTTCACCAAAGGAGAATGCTTCACAAAATATATTATTTAAAGTTGATCTATGAGCTTACGTATGTAGGGTAAATTTTCAACTCCATATTTAGCCAATTTATGTTAACACTAGATTGCCCATGGAAGTCATTTTCACTGCTAGTGAAATTTAAAATAATCAAATGACTTATTATTGAACTGAGTAAATTTCTTATATGATCAGTTCGACTCTGTATTGAAATAACATTTATTTCGATGACCGTTAAATAATGGCATGCAAGTATATGATAAATTGTCGATTTGAGCGCGCTCTAACTAGATAACTTGCAGTGTCTCAATAATTGTTTTTCGTGTTTTTAAGCAGTGGTACTTGTTCTAACAATTTGTTTATATTATATCATTTGCGTCCTAAATATTTACTAATAACTTGCTATTTAACTGTAAATAATATAAAAAAATATTAAAAATGAATTTTAAACGAATTTTTTTTTACATCAGTTAGTCCTTTTGACTGGTTTTCGGCAACATAGGTACATATATACAAAATTTCAGTTTTTCTAGTGCTAATTGTAGAAATTGAGAAGAAAGTATGAAATCTTAGATGCGTTCACATCTGGTGAAACTAGCTTGGAAACTTTATATTCAAAATTTACAATTCAAAGTGCTAAAACGATCAAATTACCTTGATCTTATGGCATAAAATTCAAAAGCATTTTCTTTTTTTTGAAAGAATCTTGGCATGGATTAAGGACTAATTCTCTAGATAAAAGAGCCAAAATATTTTTTACGAACTTATAATTTTAAGATATAATAAAAAAATTATTTATACTATTCAGTTCAGATATGATAAACGCATTTTCAATTTTTTATTAGATTGAATGTGTAAAATTAATTTTACTCGAAACTTAAGATTTGTTGTATGGAATCTTTTATGCATGAACTAAATCAAATTTTAGTTGTATGTTAATATTATACTGTTTGTTACTAAATATTGTGGTAAGTAAATAATAACGTTTTGTAAATTCAGAAAATTTATGTAAATATGAAATGTTTAGTGATTGAACTCAAGTAATCATCTAGTTTTTTATAAATTAGTTTTTATGTAGTAAGCTGCAGTCAATGTGTTGTTGAATTCAAACACCAAAGAAAATCCTGTTTGAAAAATAACGCCGTACTCGAAATCGTATGTAAATAAAGAACGCCCCTTAAAACACATAATTTATTATCCTCGCTTGCTTTGTGTGCTTTAGAGTTTTTATGCAATGGACTTGGATTCCAAAATATTAGAGCAAAAATAAATTTTTGCTCTTTTCTCTGGAGTAACAATTTTGGCAAAGAGTTTTAAATGTGCTTTTCAATTTGCTCCATTGCTTTTCAAATTAGTTTTGGAACCAATTTTCTTCAAAATGATCTTCAAATCTGTACCAATGGTGTTCTTCACTGAGAAAAATGGGTTAATTATACTGCGAGAAAGTCTTGTCTTTTCATATTATAAAATTCTGATATTTTTATTCAAAAATATTTTTACACTTAATTGTTTGGAATAATGTGCTTCCTTAAAAAAAAGGGTTAAGAATTTTTTCATTTTCTTTACGTTTTGTTTATAATAAACTTTAAATTTGAATTATTTTTTGATGTTGATGTAGTTTTTTTTTCTCTTTTAAAAACAATCATTACGAATATCATAGTTGTAATTATGACCATTTTATTACATAATCATCATCATTGTCATTTTTATATTCAATTCTATGAAAATTTAATAAAACAAAGTTTTCAGTTTAATAATTAACCCTCTTTTCTAAAAATACAAAATACAAGAAATCATGAGAGAAAATTCATCCTGTAGATTACATAAATACCTAAAATATTTTCATAGAACAAAATTAAATTATTATACGAGTAATATCATACGCGTTCTAACGTATGTGTGTATAATACTTGTACATACCTTAGACAGAAAATTAAAATAGTTAGTTTCCAAAGCTACAACAATGTTATTTTAAGATTTAAATTTCAATAAGACCAGGGCTTTTGTTTTTTATAGAAATATACATGTAAATTTTTTTACATACTCGTATATGTGATCAGTGCCTAGATTAATACACAAAAACTTTTTCTAATTATTAAGAAGAGATTACTTAACTCGTAAGTAAACATTATATGAATCGTATGTTTCATTTCTTCTTATATACTCTTATGTGTATACGATAAATTCCTGAGTAAAATATGGAAGACCATATGTAAGAATATGTTAACATATTATGTATGTATATGTATGTACATTTTAATAGGTACGACAGAATTATGAAAATTTTGCGTAATAACACTGTAGTAGGTCGAAAATTTAATATGTAAATAAGGCTAGAGAATTTTTTTTTAATGCATATTATATGAAATGAATGAGTTTTTTTTCCATAGAACGTTTTAGTTATAAAAATAAACGTATTAAATTGTTTGGTAAACCTGGGGTTCTTTAATCTTTAATTATTATTATGTGAACAGATTTTATTTAATGATTTGATTTTAATTGAAAATAGTTAAGGCAAAACATTGTACATAAGTGAAAAGGTTTCTTTTAAATGTAGGCCAGTAATAAAAGAACAAAATTTAGTTAAATTTTTTCGTATAATAAAAACGAAAAGTTTTATTTGAATTAAGGTTCTTTTAAATAAAAAAGGATGAAAATTAAAAATTTTAATTGTTTAACACTTTAGTTTTTTTTTGTAGTTTTAATTATTACAAAATATTTCAAATGCATAGTTTCCTTGAAAATGTAATTCAAAAAGGATATTAAGAAAATATTAAAAATTTCTGGTAAATTAATAATAATTTTCTTATAGGAGCACGAAATTATTAATAAACAAAATTATTTAAAATTAAAATTTAAATTAATCTAAATAGAAATAGTAATAATCACGATTTTTAGATTATTTCAGGATTATTAAACTCCTAGTGGCGTTTGTACGAAGTTCTGAGTAAGATGACTTAAAAATAAAGAGTTATTGCATAAATTGAAAAAACTTCAAAAAAATAACGCAAGTGTTAGCTTTTGGTAGCTCAAATAGCCAATTAAAATTAGGCGCACCTAAAAATTGTCGTTATGCAATTGAAAAACGAAATTTTGATTCAGTCTACAATTCTTTTATAGATTGATTGAAAGTTATCAAAGTATACCACCGGTAAGATTTAAGAGACTTGGTTTAGACCATTTAGATTCTCATTATGAGATATGATGTTGATTTGTTTAAAAGTCTAACTAAGAACCTCCACCAGCATTTTCGTACCTGTACGAATATATATTCCAAGCGTGTACTAAATTTGCCTTATCGTTTGTAACGCCAAAAAATAATAAACTGGGATATAAATTTAAGTATATGTTTTTGGTCAGCATAGAATTCGGAGTTGACTTAACAATATTTGTCCATCGCTCATCCCAAAGATAACTCAAAAAGATAACTAATTGAGTTAAGTTCACCAAATTTTCACAAAAGATTTATTATAGTAAATACCACAACCTTATTTAAATTGAATATGATCGAGCTACTGATTCGAGTAGTTGGCGTACAATTAAACTACAAAACTTATTTATCATATACTAAATATAACAGACTTTAATATATCTCAGAAATTATAGAAGATAGAGGTATGAAATTTGGCCCAAACAAATATACGAGTATTATTATTATGTTATGCTTGATAAGAGCCATTTAAATTTCTCTCAACTGCTGATAGTAGCTTCCATCAAACTTCATAAATTGTTGGATCTTAGTTCAGAAACTTTTGAAGCTACAAAAGTGAAATTTTTGAATAAACAAATTAAGTGATGTGGTTTTCAATTAATAAAACTCTTTTAGATAAGCATAATAGGCACCATATTGTATAAAATAGCACTAAACATATAAAAATCAAGGAGTTGTATGAAACTGTATGTTAACTATCTTCGAGATTTATTGCAACGGGTATCACAGAGTAAATACGGTCAACTATAACTAATCTTGTTTAGATAAATGAAGATTAAAATTTACTTAATTATCCAACAAAATGCACCTCAAAGGCTATAATGTTAAAAAAAACTTTTAAGAATTAAAAAATTATCAATTTTATATTAAAAATTTTAAATTTTATTCCTTTTATTATCGCATAACTAGTTCATAATTTTTATTGTGACCATTTAAGGATTTCAAAGCTTTTTTCAAAAATTTTCTTCAAATCTACACCTTTCTTTGATAATGTGTTACGAATATTAGCTGTACTAGAAGCAGTCTATAAAAAAATATTGTTTGTTAATGGAATTTTAAAGAGATATGATTTTGTGACTAATGTAGCTTACCAAAAATTTATCAACCAATCCCTTGAAATCAGGGTGATTTAACCTTGTCATGAAAGTATTGAATTCAGGGCTAGTTTTCATCTTCAATTTCATTAAAGTAGAAATGTCATCTTTTGGCATAGCATTTAATAAATCTCTTAAGAAACTATTGACAGTTCTTGGCATTATAACTAATTCATCATCAGGGTAACGAGCCACTTTCAAAAGTTCAGCTAATTTGTTTAAATCTTCGGATAATTTATAGCCAGAACTTTCGATATATGTCACAATACCACGGAACTCCGCATTTGAAACAAGTTCACTCCATAGTTTTGAGAATTCATCGGTTTTAACAAACTTAATGAAATCCCCAAATAATTTATTTAATGTTAAGTGTTTTGCAACAATAGCTTTGACTCTATCTACTGGCACCAAAGCACCAATTTCCCGGAAATCATCTTTTAAGTTGGCTTCAGTTGATAAAACAGTAGCAGCAACACAAAGTGTTATTAAGAAGAATTTCATTTTATGTCACAATTAAAAACCTTCTTGTATGTCAACAATAAATTAAATACTAGTTTTTAGACTTTTAAATACGTTCTTTTATAGTTATTTTAAAATTTAAGTGACTCTTGAGGAGTTGGGAGAAATACAAGAAAAATATAATCACAAAATTAGATAAGATTGATAAAAGACAAATAAAAATTAAATTTAAATTTCATATCTTAAAGCACTTAAATTAATGAATACAAATTTCGACGTTAATTACTTTCAAGTTTATGTATATTATCATCTAAAAGAGCTTTCTAAGTATCTGTATCATTAATAACAATCTGCATTTACCCAAAATAGATAATATTGGAAAAACAAAAGAATATTTCTAATTAGAGAAGCAAATAAATGATGATGATTGGAAAAACAACAAGACATGCACAAATTACAAAATTTTTAGTGCGTAGTTAGAATGTAATGTCTGAAGCAGAATTAGCGATAACGTCGCTCAGTAGTGTTTTTTTTGAGCCATATAACTGTGTTATTTGGTTTCAGTATGAGTCTAAAGAAAAATTTTCTATATAATGAATATAATAGGTGAGGAAAGAAGTAGTAGTATTAAGCATTTGCCTAAGTTCAACAGCTTAGTTATTTGATATGCTAACATTCATCAAAAATCTGTTCGTATTTTTCTTAAAAAATATTTTAAATGAAGATTTTTTAACTGTTGTTATAATTTTTACGATATTTGTTTTCCCATGTTTTTATTTTTGTCATTTCCTGCGTGATTCATTATAATTGTTGACGATTCAATACAGTTTGCCACTTCATTAATCCGTTAGTAACGTTTTCAAGCTCTTGAAAATTTCAATACCGAAATCTGCTATAGCGACCGCATTTTGACGATATTGAACCATATGAGTGATTTGATGTTCTGGATTAAAATAACGTCTCATTTTACGTTTTTTCATTTCACATCCACCATTTTAGCAACACATCCTGAATATACAAGAAAATCGGGATTATTGTGTACTGGATTTTATATATTAAATTAACAAAGATCTCAAATTCACCTTGATTTGTCTTTAAATATGTTTTCCTTAAAGCAGATTAATTTTAGAATGTTCAGTAAATTAATTTTATTTTCAATCTAATGAATTAATATAGAAGAAAGAAAATCAATGATAAAATTGCTATAAAAGTAAGATATATGTAGATATATACTTGTACTCGTACATATAGAAAATCTCAGTAAATTAAAATGAAGAAAACTAAGAAATCAAGAAAATAAGAAAGAAAACTTTATCATTTTGGTATCATGTACCCAATAATTAATTTCCAATCAAAGTAACAACACCTTATGGTCAATTTATGTTCATTTGAAAGCGACTTCCCTTTGAAATTTGTGCAATTTTTTTTTTAATTTGTTTTGTTTTTTTTTGTTAATAATCTTAAAAACAAAACAGACATAAAAATCCGAAAATCTGAGAAAGCACGTTTAATAGATTTTTTCATTTCAATGAGCGTGGTTTCATTATTTCGATTGAACGTTTCTAAATCAACACCAGATATGTATATATTTATGGACATACATACAAAAGTATGTACTTTATATTAATTTTATGTGCGCTTACAGTACTACAAAAAATTAAAGATACAGTATTTTTTTTAATTGAGAAATTAATTAACAAAGCAGAGGCAGTAGTTTTAGTTTGTTTTCACGAAGAAAAAATCACTTTTTATCTTACATAAGAAAATTCCAGCTTTGCATTTAACAATTTATCGGAAGTTGGAAGTTGATAATATGTAATTTCAAGAGTTAGGCAGATTAAGTCATTAACTATATAATGTCGAAATCAATGAAATATAAAGTATTAATTGACTATACAGGGTGAGTCAGAAAGCTATAGAACAACATATACCATATAGTTGGAAGATCGAAAATGGGTAAAACTTTTGTTCCGGACTGGGTGCCAGATCTCAAGAGTTTCCGAGTTCCAGTGGTTTTAACGCATTTTCATGAAATTTTTACTTATCAAAGTTTTTTGAATTGTAACTTCCGTTCTGAAAAATATAGAAACTTCAAACACTTTCTGAAAGGTCTAGTAAAAGGCTTAAAATAAACGTGCTTGACTCTGTATGTTATATACCTTCGGAATACTAAGCATTCGAACTTTAGGGAAAATCAAATTTTTTCTTTCTTTTATTTTTTCAGTCTTGCCTTTCTGAAAGTGTTTGTTTGAAGTTTCTGACTCTTTCAGAACGGAAGTTATAATCAAAAAACTTGCATAATTAAAAATTTCGTGAAAATTCGTTAAAATCTATGGCATTCGGAAACCCTTGAGATTTGGTACCGAGTTCGGAACAAAAGTTTTACCCATTTTCGGTCTTCTATCCAATGGTATTATGTTGTTGTATGCCTTTCAGAATCACCCTGTATATAAGTATTTCCATAATAGCGACATAAGTGTTTTATTCTCACTTTCTCACAGAAACTATGAAACTCACGACAGTTTTGTGCACTCAAGTTTTTTTGTTTCGTTCTCAAATTTAAATTTAGAAATTTAAATTATTTTATTATTTATTGCATGAATTGGAACAAATTATGATAAGATAAAATGCCTTTTCCCTATTTCTAGATAGTGAAGTAGTTGAGATAGTCACAAACCTATCTAGAAAAATAGAATTGACAATCAGTGCAAGAAATTATAGCCATGAAATTAAATTTTTATTAATTATGTACAGCACTGTTGTAAGACTACGTATAAAATGCTTTTATTTTCTTTGGATATTGTCCTAAGTTTTGTAATTCTTTAATGTACATAGATCTCTATATAAACAAGCCTCATTACAGCAAAAACAGGAATACTATCAAAAACTCGAAGTTAAACAAAGTAAAATAGAAAAAATAGGCTTATTTTTTAATATAAGATTATTAATTATATATAAGTAATTGATATATAAGTAATGGCAACGGCTTCCCAAATTCTAATTTTTCTTCCAAAATTTTTTCTGTTTTATATATTTTTATTCACATAAAAATAAATATAATTTAAAAACAATAGAACTTTTGAAACTTTTAAATTGATCATCGATTTCCGTAGAGTAGCATAACAACAAAAATTTTTAAAAATTTTGACAATTATCGAAATTGTATACGTTACCGCTTGAATTAGGGGACACACAACATCTATATGTGTTTTCTATCTACTTGTAAGTCAACTTCTTTGACGAGTTAACAGTATTGGATTTGTTTCTAAATGCTTAAAATGCCCGCAATGAAATTTCCTATAAGTTTATCGATACTGCGTTACTGCTGTAAGCACTTTTCGAATTTTCTTGGCTTGTAAATAAAGAGGCTTTTCATTTATATAACTAATCACATTCAATATATGAAGATATTAAGATTTGTATTTTGTTTTCACTTTATTTTTTGTTTTCAACATGTGGAAAAAAGAAGCTACAATAAAAATAAAAGGTTCCCAAACTGAAATCAGCAAAATTTATTTCCAGATGGGATACCAAATATTTCATTCTGTCTTTTCATTTTTCTTTTTTTCTATAATCCATTTTATATTAATTTAATATTATAATAATATTGGTGTTATTGTTTTGTTATACTGAATCAAAATGTACCCAATCGGCTATAATAAAGACAAATAATTCAAAATACAAAAAAAATCTCTTCCAGACCACCTTTAAATCTTGCAAATTCATTCCTGTTCCTATTTTCAAGTTGAATTACATTAAGAAAATTTTTGAATATTAAGTTTAGGATAGAGAATTAACCTCATGTGTGTGAAAACAAAAATTAAATCCGAATTATTTTTGTTTTTGTTTTTCAATGTTATAAAATAATAAGTATTCATAAAAAGAAGTGGGATTACAAAGATTTCATTAGAAGTTTACTGTTATAAGAAGAAAATTACATAAAAAGATTGACCCATTCAATGGACCATGAAATAAAAATCCTAATAAAAGTCGAAGTGGAATCAGTAGAAGAGCAAAACAAAAAAAATGAAAATAGAAAAACAATTTAACGCAATTGAAGGATGAAAAATTCATCGGACTTTAATGAGGCACGTCTATTTAATAAGTTTTAAAGAAATATAAAATAAAGCATATTATATAGAAACGCATGATAAAATAAAACGAAACAGATTTCATTTTGTAAAGGCTGATGAACATAAAGAAGTGAGAAGCTCCATTTAAGCGTACATTATAAATCTATTTAGGTATAGAAATAAACGCATTTTAGGATTGTTTAGATTAATAGAATTAAAAATTTTTCTTTTGTATCAGTCGACTCAAATATCTCGATTTAATTGACCATATCTTAAAGCTAAATAAAAAAGACCTATACCCTATTTTTAAAAAATTATAAAATGATATTGACTAAAACTGCTCTCCATTTCCAGGTTAATTGCCTGGTCTCTGGTTATCGACACAAACAAGTTCGAAATTGATTTAATTTTCTATTTTTCGGTTCTCATTAATGCTTTAGCAATTATTTTGAAAAACAAAAAAAAATATCTCAAAAAATCTTGACGTCTTGTGAATACCATAAAACATGGGAGACTGCCGTTAGAGTATGAGTGCGGCATTCGGCATCGTTTGTTTCCTTTAAGATAATGACAATAAAAACGAAAATATTTCGAATTTTTTGAAACGCGGTTTCTCAACTTCTAATTGAAGCTATATAATTGAATCCTGTAGCTCTAATTTAATTTGAAATTGTGAGATATCGTTTGTTCCGACGAATTTTTCGTTTTATAGTACTTATATGTATTTGCATGTGCATGTGTCATGGATTTCGCGATATATATGAAAGTAGTTATAAACGTTTGTGAATTTTCCATACTTATATTTTCAAGAAAAAATGTAAATTAAAAAAATTAATTATAAAACCTATTGTATAGCGTCAATTAACTTTAAAAAGTTGATTAAAATTTAATTGTTCGTTAAAGTTGTAGCACTTCACTTGATCTACAATATTGTTTGTTAACAAAATATTTTTTTAAAATATATACAAC